TGCCAAGTTGTGGAAAAACAGTTTTTGTATTGCTTTCCTTCAGATCCTAACATTATTTTTAATGAAGTTCCAGACTGCGTCAGTAAGAACTTAGTCCTTTGTTCACTTCATTTTACCACGGATTCCGTTACAAACAAGGCAAATTAAATGTGGGATTTTCAGAAAGTTTGAAAATAAAAGATGATCCTGTGCCGACTATACTGAATCCGACGGTAATGTCGCACCACACAAGTGTGAGTAACTGCTTTTATTGTGTTATCACTATTGCTTTGTCTGTTATTACAGATCGTTTGATATGCACTGAGTATTTATATATTTTTAATGTAAATCAAAGCAGCATCCATCTATGAAGGCTGTCAAACATACACAACTGTTAGCCAATCATAGAAGTGGGCGTTTACTTCTGAGTCAACAATTTGCCATGCCTATTCAAACTGAGATTTTTGATGAGTTGGGTTAAAAACAGGACAAAAAATAGCCTATTACTTATAAAAAAAGTACATAAAAGTACTTTTTTTTTTTTTTTTGGATTTAAAAATGTTGACAACATTAAAGGGACCTCGGAGAACTTCGAAGAGATTTAATAAAATGCACATCACAATACTAAAGAAAAGAACTGTCACTACTTATATTTCAGTGCGACTTTAATAAAGTAGCCTTTGAAAGGATGCTAACCAATGCTAGTATGAAATGGTTGCATTTTATTTACAGTACATGCACTTATGGTGTACTTAGTGTACTTACCTAAGAAAGTACTGCATACAGGGTAACTACCTAGTTGTTACCCATTTATTTTAATTACTATAGTAAATAAATAATATATACATGCAGAACAGAACTGTAAAATAAAGTGCTACCTATAAGATGATTTAAAATCATAAAATAATTTAATCCTTATTGCAGACAGACAAAATACTATAATCCTCTAGTCCTCTATGTATACATATTACATGAAATCAGAACTGATGCTATAAATATATATATGCCCTAATGAACTCATGGTGTTCATTTGGGCACATATATTCATGGTGCTATTAAGTACAAATGGTAAGCATTAAAAATATATATATATATATTTACATATATAAGGAGTTTATAACCTTTTATAAAAATATAATATGCACCACTTCTCAAGAGACTTTCCTTTATCACTGACTTCTACTGTGAAATGAAGAGCTAATTTTTAACAATCTAATCAATTCCCAATGGATAACATCCAGACCTACACCATTTTTTTTTCTTATTGAATATCCCGTTTCACTCTAAAATATTGTATGTGACATTACAAAATTGAAAAGAGCTAACAGTTGGGCTGTCCTCGACTAAAGATTTTTCTGGTCGACTAGTAGTCGTTCATTTGAAGCATTAGTTGACTAATCGCATATTTATTAATAAACCATTTAAATCATTATAATAAGCCTTTAATTGCCTACATAGCATAATAAGCGCTCAAGCACACGCATAAAGCTTGCCACAGTGCACCAGCAGAAGTAATGATTATGAATATGTCAGGGAAGAACAGTAAGGAGGCTGCATTAACATTTTAAAAATGTATTAATACACTAGTGCTTTCTTTGGTTTTAGATTAAGTGATGAAGTCGGTGACACTGACTCGTCATCTCCGCAGTAGTGATGCGCCTGTATGCATGTTTCATACGGATTACATAATCTGAGAATTTGTTTTCCATTTGAATTGGTTCATTTGAAAGTAGACATTTCGCTCTTTATAGATATGTTTTTTTCATATACACAGAGTTTTGCAGTTTCGCGCTCAAGTTCACAGAGACCGAGACGGAAAGCGAATCCTGTTTGCTTTCATTATTTTACAAAAGCGCCATGTTTTGTTGTTATTGTGAGTGCACACAAATAAACGTAGAGTATTTACAGATTCGAAAGGTGTATTACTCGTATCTGTATGAGCAAAAAATGATGGAGTATTTTAAGAACAAGTGAGCGCACTGGCGCCTCAATCTGTCCTGCAGTGAGCGCTACTTTTCAGCTTCCACACTCTGCACAGATACTTCAATAGCACACATTTTTCTAGGTTAACATTAGTTTGAGTGGCCGTGTAAAGTTGCTAATACTTACATATTTCAGATGATAAGCCAAGTTTGAGGTCGATAAATGATAGGCAAGCGTTTGTATGTACAGTACTGTATTACCCAGTGGCGTAGTGGTGCCTGGAGAAGTGGGTATACTCCTAATTTATGCCCCAATTTTTTTAAAGCGACCCAGCAAAGGATCAACACCCTGTGTTATAAACAGTGACATGTAAAACTAGTCTTGTATATTTAGTTCACCCCAAAATGGGCCAGTAGTATTTGCATATTGTCTCTTAACTTCTGCTGCTTGACTTCAAGGAGTAAAGATCATTATGAAATTAAAAATATCAATTTATCCAGAATTTATCCCCCTCCCCCCATCCCCACCACCTTTTTAATATAAATAAGCACCAGTCAAGCTGTGATATCAAACTGGACCACAAGGAGACGCCAACAGACCACTAAACCTGCTGTCTTGACCTTACTGTACATGCTACTATACGGATCCATTCAGAATAACTAGACCAGCACATAATCTAAAACACCTTCAGTCACCATTAGGGTTGGGAATCGAAAATCGATTCAGATTCCAGAATCGGACACTTAAGGTCAGGAATTGGATTCTTTGTGTCAAATTAAAATTTAGATTCCGCCTATCGATTCCTATGCGCTTTTTTTTTCTTAATCTGTGAGGACCGGACCTAGCCATCTGCCAGGGCCTTGCTCGCTAATCTAAGCGCTCCCAAAGTTTGGCTACATTTGCGATCAGAAGCCAAAAAAGCTAAGTATTATATCTGTGATAGCTGTGTTGTTGAGTTGTCACCACCAACATGACAAAGCACTTTAATTTAATAGATCGTTAAAGATCGCGAACACGATTCAAACACCAACGTGATTCTATTCCTAAATTACAATGATTCGTCTGTTTCATTCCTCAACCTTTGACGTATGCGATCAATGTTGTGATCACTTGGTTCGTCCGTGCAGCCTACGATCACACCAGTGTGATTTGAACATTTAAATTTGCGTTCGCACTGCCATTGACCTAAAGAGAGCAGCTGTCATCTGTCATGAATGAAACAGCTTCACAGTCTTTTCAGCTACACAGTATTATTTATTGTTTATAGTTCAGATATAAACTGTGTGTACGATGTGTATGGTAGCGATTAAAATAGAGTAAATCACCTTTTGAAAGTAATTTGACACTTCAAATGAAGATTTATCAATTACATTGTTACGCCAGTAGGTGGCGAAAAGGGGCTGTTAAAATGTATTTGTTTTTTAATCATACAAGAGATTAATTCATCCAGTAATGAAAAAAGTACATCTTGAGTGAGTCATTTAATCATTAATTCATAAATTACATGTGATTTTGTTTAGTTGTCTAATGTTTTTTCTTCAGAATCATGAGAGAACCACAACTTCCATTGGGAAAAAATACTCAATTTATCCAGAATCATGCAGTTCTATTTTGCACACGAACAGCTCTTAAAGAGTCCAGTTTTTATGTAGCCTGTTGATTTTTGTTCATGGTATTCAGCTCCAATAAATGGTTTGCAAAAAAGAGAAACATGATAAATGTTTGATATCATTATTTAATCGCATTGGAATCGAAACTGGGAATCGAAAATAATCGGAATCGATAAGCGGAATCAGAATCGGAATTGATAAAATTCAAACGATACCCAACCCTAGTCACCATCCAGTATAACACTCATGCTTTTAAACCAAATACACGCTGAAAATAATAATTTACTGACATCTGGACTCGACTCTCCACAATATCTGATGAAATCGGTTGGGTTTTCTTTGTATTAGAGCTGTTTTGAACTTACTGTTTGAACACATTCGTTTATTCTGGATCCTTGGACTGAAAAGTTTACAGGAGTTTACCGGTTTTTAAGCTATTGTTTTTATTCTAATGTACTGATTCAAATTAGTAATCACGCATTCGTTTACTGGATCCTTGGACTGAAAAGTTTGTTTACAGGAACCGGTTTTTAAGCTATTGTTTTTATTCTAATGTACTGATTCAAATTAGTAATCAATAATTAACTATTATTTTACCACTCTGTGCGCCTCCCCTGACATGCTGTCACGCATAAACAGGCAGCATCTCTGTCACTGTCGGCAATCAGCATCCTCTCTGACTGTGGTCGGGGACGGAGCGGGCACAATCATCAAACATATTTCAAAGGAAGCCGGCGCCACAGTCCTGACCGCTGTCTTTACTGAGTGTTTTTAGGGAATATTTGTATTATTATTATTTTTTTTTTTTTTATACATGCGATTGGATTAGCTATTCATGTGGTGAACTGTCATGATTTTGCCTAATGACACTAATGAATGATGCGCATCAGAGGGGATTTAGAAGTGGGTATACGCAAAGCCGACTGATAAAGAAGTGGGTATACGCCGCCACTCTGTGCGCCTCCCCTGACATGCTGTCACGCATAAACAGGCAGCATCTCTGTCACTGTCGGCAATCAGCATCCTCTCTGACTGTGGTCGGGGACGGAGCGGGCACAATCATCAAACATATTTCAAAGGAAGCCGGCGCCACAGTCCTGACCGCTGTCTTTACTGAGTGTTTTTAGGGAATATTTGTATTATTATTATTATTTTTTTTTTTATACATGCGATTGGATTAGCTATTCATGTGGTGAACTGTCATGATTTTGCCTAATGACACTAATGAATGATGCGCATCAGAGGGGATTTAGAAGTGGGTATTCGCAAAGCCGACTGGTAAAGAAGTGGGTATATGCCCTATACCTGCGTATACCCTACACTACACCACTGGTATTACCATAGACCAGCGTTTCTGTCCTTCACGGACTGCTTGACTTTGCCATTTTTTTTTCCTGCAACTAAGCGACTAATAAAATCGACTACTGGGGGCAGCCCTAGTAAACAGAGTGACATTTGACAGTGATTATGAGAATAAGTAAGTCTCACCGTTGTAGTTTTCACTCTGCCACTGGGCTGTGTACAAGTCCAGCCTGATTTGTTTACTAACAGGTCACAGCCTTCATCCTCTAGACAGGGCACCATGTCACACCACTGCCTGGTCTTCACAATACGAGCTGTGGATCAAAACCAGAGAAAAGGTTAAGATAATATGATCCTGAAGGCAAGTAGAAACACAGAAAACATACACACACACACACACACACACACACACAATGCACCCCCCAAAATATTTGTACACTTAACAATGTATGAATGTGTTTGCATTAGATGACAAAATGTCAAACCAATTGAAATTTATTTTAAATACAGACAACACAAGCACTCTTCTCAAGAAAACATATTTCACAAAATAAAGTTTGTTAGTTTGGAAATGATAATCAACAATATATACTGTTCAAATTTAAGACAAAAGTATAGTGACACTTTCTGCTTGATAAACAAACACGTCCATAATTAATGTGATGAACTAACTAATTGCTAACTGACATCACACATCGACTAAAAATCACCTGCTGGTAATCATACTACACCAAATACAATGGCACTATAGCTGAACCTTTTTAGAATGAATGCACTACTTTCTAGTGATACCATTTATAGTGAGTTAGCTACAAGCATGTGTCAGAAGATTTCACTTTTCACCCCATCAGAGCTGTCCCCGCCTGTCAAGTATAAAAGAGGTTACTGTAACACACTGAACTAGTGTTGTGTATGACATGACATGATGTCTCCTCTACTCTTAAGAGAAAGACATCACCCTATGGAAGCGTTTTTACATAAGCGCGATATAGTAAAAATAGTTTAGCATTCAAATTAGATTAAAAATTAAAGAAACAAATAAAGAGATTAAAGGTTTGTCACAGATTTCTCACGCAGATGTATGTTCATTATGGATGACCACTTTTATGTAAAAGTAGGCCACTTTAACATACCTGCATTAGCATTAGTCCCTTGGGAGAGACAGTGACAGTTTCTATATATACTAAATGACATTACAATAGCCATTGCTTTAGAAACTTATATTTCAAACTTTACATGATCTTAAAAATGTGTTATGTAAGTGCAATATATTAAAACACGTGCAACAGGTTTACATTGTAACTTTACATAACTGTTACAATGACCAAGTCTCATTTATTTTAGATCCCACAATAAGCAAAAACCTGTCAGGTTACAGTTTTAGAAAAGAAGAAAAAAAGTATGTTATGCAATACCAATATAATTATAGTTGAACATGAATAGTCATGTCTGATATTTTGCCACCTGCAATAATGAATACATTTTTAACAATATATTAGTTATATAATAATTATATATGATGCAAATTAAGATATATTTTCTTTCTTTTAGTATTAGTAAAATATTAGTGAACATGTGGAAATCTCGACCTCATTATAGTTATGTTTGTTTGCATGCATGCAGTGTCAAAGTTGGAAGATTATTCAGTTAAGTTGTTGTCCTGTATACCTTTTTACTGCCAGTATATTATGACTTATATCATGTACAAACAAAATGTAATTGCCCACACTGCAGATACCAGCATAAGTTATCTTCATACATTACGACACAACATGCCAGCTCTATTTCTTGACAGAATAAATCATATATGTCAAGGAAGTATATTACAATGTCTATTTTTCTACAGTGTTTTACTATGTTTATTCTTATATGACTTCTGATGTAATGCATCTCTGAGAGCAATATTTAGAGGCATAAAGATAATTAGAGTAATCAGGGCACAGGATAATTACCTGCTGATTTGCTTTTTCCCCCCTTTTTTTTACCTCTGATGAGTCTTTTGTGAATTTCAGATGCCACAAGGAGACAAAAGGGGGCGCAATCAGGCCTAATTGTAAGTGTAATGGAGGAATACAGTGCAACTGTAATCAAGACAGCTGAGTGGCATTAAGACGTTTGCTTCGGTGTCACTCAAATCTTTCTATGGATAGGATAATTATCCTTTTACACATGCATTAGCATACATTACAACTACTGTAACAACCACGCAGTACATTAGACTAACTAGAATCTAAACATTCAACAAAAAGCAAATGGCAAGTGTCATGGGCAATAAACATTCAATTATTAAAAAATGTAGCACAAAGCAAAACAAGATTCTTACAAGTACAACCAAAAATTTTAATTTGTGGAGTCTGTCCAGGTGCATGAGCCAGCATCAGCATTCTTCGTCGATGGCATATCAGTGGAGTTTGTTGGCATGAAATGAAGCCCCACCCACACCCCAATCACAGAGGTGTGTACAAGAAGCTGGGTCTCAAAATAATTATTTATTAGATGGATGATATAATGTTTCCTGGTCTACCATCTCTACTGGTCCCATCCAGTTCAAAGTCATTTTCCTTGTCTGTTTCAGTCTAGTTCCAAATCATCTTCCTCTTTGTTGGTTCAGACACGTTCCACATCATCTTTGTGGTTGCTGGTTAGGCCATGTTCCAAGATATTTTCGTTACTGCCATTTAAGCCCAGTCCCAAGTCATTTTCCTCACCATTGAGTCAAACTAGCACCAAGTTTCCTCTCCAACATCCTGCCGCTCCCCCCTCCCCCCCTCCTGCTTTGGGTGCTTGGGGGAGAGGGAGGTGTGAAGTGTGTTTTTGTTATTCTAGGTGTCTATTAAAACTATCTATCTTTCATTCTGTGTCATGCATCAGTCTTTGGATCTAAACTACACAGCAACCTGTGACAATAGTATACTACTCATTGAATAACAAGTATACTACTCATTGAAAATACAGAGTTCTGGCATGAAACTCTAGATTGCGCAGTCTGATAGGTCTAACTCAATGTGACCTAATGACATCATTATCGCATGGCACAGCTGATTGGTTCTCTCCTGTATTGGTAGCCAATGAGCTCACTGCTCAACATTCAAATATATGACTAGAGCTTGCCGTAGCAATTGCAGCTTGCTTCAGAAACCCTCCACCTTCCCCAGCTCCACCTGTATAGATCTGCTATGATGTATTCAAGTATGCTGAGGGTTATTTCATGTATGTTATATTTGCAGCAGCAATATTCTTACATGCTCACAACAGCATGTTGTGGATGTATTGGCAGTAGCAAGTCTCGGTACTTGCTCTGCCGCAGCAGCAGCAGCGTAGCAGATCTATTCCAAAACCAAATACATGAACATTGTCATGTACATTACCATGCCAATCCCTCCGAGAGTTGTCATGACAGAACTGTGATTTCAGTTTATTATCAGACAGAACAAGCACATCACATTCTGACATCAACACTTACATACAAAGAAACACTTGTGCTAATGTTGGAAATGGTCTGTCTTGAACAAGAGGGGGAAAAGAATTTCGGCTGAGCAAATAGAAATTTGTGAACCGTACATTCTTTACAGCATATTCAGGATCATTTTGACAGTACAAACACTGATACATAAATATCAGAAAAGTATTTGTTGAAAAAATAATTCCAAAAACATAAATTAGTTTGATGAAGAAAAAAAAATGATGTTCATCCACCAAAAATACCAGTAAACCGACAACATATTAGGGGTAAATTCATGTGATTTAGCAAAAAATTTAGAGTCTGCCTTGTAGACTTCTATTTTCCAGTGAATCCCTATTTCAAGTGATTGTTATTATTTAAAAACAAATGAGGGATGATTCCAAAATATGTTTTGTGGTAATCACCATTATGTAAGAAAGACTGTTGATTGACCCCAACATTTGTAGTGAATCTGGAACATTCCTTTAAAATAAAGGAGACTTCCTCTGTCTGTCATTCCAGTGTGAGTAAAGATTGGCAGTGTTGCTCCAAACCGGCATGCTGATGGATAGGAAATGAGTATGTTAATGAACTATTGTTTTAAGATCCCCATTGGCTCAGAGTTTTGTTTTCAATTTGAATCAATTTGTCATGTCAAAGTCAAAAGGGGGAAAAAGGCATGATGATAAAAAGCATGAGTACATTTCCCAACTCTTAGTATCATTGCTGTGCACTGATCTGTCTGAAATTTTGGACAGTATGATGTATGTGATGGAAAGCATGTTTTTTTTTTCTTTCTCATTTAGGCAATGGAAATTAATCTAAGATGCAAAATTCACCCTCAAGATTCACTTTTAGCTATAAAGTAAATTGTAAGCTCACACTCCACTACAAATCCAATGACATGCTTAAAACTGACCCTTACGTCAGTGTTTCTCAAATTTGACTATAAACTTTTTGATACTGACATATTATATAATTACTACAATGCTCAGAACTTACATTAAGTTAACTACTCAATTACACACGAATCCGGTCCGTGGTCTTCCGTCTGCTCGCCACCAGAGGTCGCCTTCTGATTATATTGACTCTCACACCACACAAACTGTTGCACGTCACCCTGGACTACATTTCCCATGCTCCATTGCACTGATTGGACTCACCTGCAGCCAATCACACACACACTATATAACAACCACTCAAATCCTTCTCTAATCGCCGAGTATTGTTCTGCGCTTATCACTCTCCTAGACACAGCACGAATATTATTAGCTCTTAAACAAGGCCCGCGTTCGCTGGAGAACTATATTCAAGAGTATCTAGCCATTGCCTATTACTCTGATTTACCGGACTGTTTGTTGATAGAGTTTTTTTGCGATGGCATTAATCAACCGCTGAAGTCTAAGCTCAGATGTGAAGGTCCGCGTTCATCACTTTGCCAGTTTATGGACTATGCTTTGTTGTGTGTTGGCTCTCCATTCACTGTGGGTGTCGCGGAGGAGGAACGCGACACCGCGTCGGTTACTGAAATGGCGGCGACAGCGGATTTTGTTCGCAAAATGGCGGCCACAACAACGCCCCATTATTTCTCAGCTGCCATACCTGAGTCAAGTCAAGTCACGGTTGATTTTCATGAGTCAAGTCAAGCCACAGTTGATCATCATGAGTCAAGTCAAGTCACAGTTGTTCTTCAGGAGTCAAGTCAAGTCACCGCTGATCTGCCAGAGTCTCGTCACGTCTCAGCTGATCCTCCAGAGTCTCGTCACATCTCAGCTGTTCGTCCAGAGTCACGTC